TCCCAAGGAGTGGCTGGTGGATTTGAACGGCTGACCTTAAGGATCACAGCCAAACATATGACCACTATGCCACCAGGGCTCCCTTTGGGAAGACATAAGAAACTGCAAATATCATGAACTGTGTTTCTTAAATTGAGGATCATGTGGAAAATGTAGATTTGCATCCAGAAAGTCTGGGTAGGACCTTCTATCAAGTCCTAGGTGATGCCGATAATGCTAGTCCATAAGCATTTTAGAAGCTGCATTCTCCAGCACTGACTATGTTGTAGAGACGTGCAGGGAAGGGCAAGATCGAGGAGGGCCTTGGACACAGCATCAGAGAGTTTGGACTTGATCTTGCGGAGGTTAAGCAGCCATGGAAACACTCAGGGGAGTGAGATGACTAGATGTGCATTTTAAAAAGGCTTCTGGATGCCGTGTGGAGAACAGGGGTGGCGGGAGAACCAAGGAGGAGGTGTGGTAGGTAGAGTACTGGGTATTGCCACCGCACCCCTATCCCAAGACCCATGAGGAATGTTCAAAGGACTTCACAGGTGTGATAAATCAAGGACCTGGACATGGGGAGATTATGCTGGAATATCTGAGTGGTTCAATCTAATCACATGAACCCTTAAAAGCAGATGACTTTTCACCATGGAAGTCAAAGCGAGCACTGGCTACAGGAGCAGGGTCAAAGACATGGAACCTTGCTGACTTTGAAGATGGAAGAAGGGGCTATAAGCTAAGGAATGCAGAAGGCCTCTATAAACTGTGAGTCTCCCCTGGAACTCCCCGAAGAATGGAACCCCAACCACAGCTGGATTTTGGTCTGGTGCGACCCACGGGACTTCTTACCTACAGAATTAGAAGAACAAATCGGAGTTGGCTTCCTCACTCAGTTTGTTACAGTGGCAACTTGTACAAATGAACAGAGGGGGTTACTATTGCAACCATCCAGGGAAGAAAGGATGAGAATCTCATTTAAGAGAGGGGCATTAAAAAGATGAAGGGTCTTAGTCACCACCTGGGTTTGTGTACAGGGGTGGGTGGAAAGGGAAGAGACAGGAGTCTAAGGAAACCCTCATATTTCTCTCTTGACAAATGGGACTCTTAGTCAAAAGGACACCGAAGGGAATACAGGAGTGGGGTGTGTGTGTGTGTGTGTGTGTGTGTGTGTGTGTGTGTCTTAGTCACCACCTGGGTGTGTGTACAGGGGTGGGTGGAAAGGGAAGAGACAGGAGTCTAAGAAACCCTCATATTTCTCTCTTGACAAATGGGACTCTTAGTCAAAAGGACACCGAAGGGAATACAGGAGTGGGGTGTTTGTGTGTGTGTGTGCGCGCGCGCGCGCGCGCGCGCGCCTATGAGTAGATGCAGAGAAGGGAGGAAGGTCTCCCTGATGTTAGGGAGCTAACTCAGCTACTTCCTTCCAGAAAAGTTTTACCCAGAAACTTTCTAATCTCAACCCTCAAGAAGCATTCCCTGCTGGGGAAAGCGCGTGCCGGCAGCCAACACAAACAGCTGCTCTGCTTCTCGGTGAGATTTTCCACTCCAAATTAATGAATTGCCATTCCAGCCAAACAGCAGCCCCTTGTGAGTCCAGCCACGGCAAAACAATTGAGCAGGGCTTGAGCTCTCTTGGATGAGCAGACAGAATTGAGTGTGTGGCTACAAAGCGGAGGATCAGACCTTGAACTGTGCCGACCCCAGCCAGCCCTCGTTATCTGACCCAGCTTCCCTGTACCGGGGCTGGCGAGGAAGCCCTGGAAGAGGCTGCCTGGTCAATTGGGAATCATGAAGGTCTGTGCTTGTAACTCAACCGCTATTTATAGTCTGCACACTGAGCGTCCCTTGCACATACCAGGGGCCCAGGCTCCAGAGGAGAAAACATCGTGTCTGGATGCCCTGCTTGGCAGCAGTAAAATGCAAGCTCAGGCAAGTCGTTCTGGGAGACAAGGAGAGTGGAGGGCGAGTTCTGTTTGCAGCTGATCTAAAGGTGGTTGGTCCCACCATCAAGACCTCCTGGGGGATCTGAGAAAATCTGAGAACTCTCAAGGCCTGATTCCTTTACCTGCGCCAGACCGGCCAAGTAACAGCTAGTCAGAAACTGAGAGCGATACCCCCGTTGTCGCGCACCACGCCGAATGAGATGGGGACTGTTGTCATCCGTCATCCAGAGGAGACTGCGCCTCTTGGAGGTTAGGCCATGTGTCCCGCATGGCATCAGTCACATGTCACGGCCAGGACTTGACCTTGGGTCTCTAGCCCAAATCCCATAGTGTCCCTCTTCACTTTGGCCGGTTTGTCTTTGTCCTCCATCCTTCTCTTCATACTGGCTGCACACAGGTCCATGTCGGTCAGGGGGGATCTGATGACTCCTGTCTTCATGAGCTAGTGCTGGGGCAGCCGGAGGTGGCTTTCTCCCTCCCTCCCATCGAGCTGTTCAGCTGACTCACAGCAGCCCCAGGGGACAGGGTTGAACTACCCCGGTGAGTTTCTCAGACTGCAACTCTTTCCGGGGGTAGGAAGCCTCATCTTTCTCCCGAGGAGCGGCTGGTGCTTTCAAACCCCTGACCATGTGATTGGCAGCCCAATGCATAACCACTACACCAGCAGGGCTCCTCGTGGGTGGCTTTAACAGTCATTCACTTGCTCACAGTTTAGGGGGCTGCAAGTCAGAATTCAGGGTGCCGGCTTGAAGGGAAGGCTTGCTGTCTGTCTGCTCTGAAGGAAGGTCCTTCCTTTTACAGCCTCTTTGTCCTGGTTCCCTAGAGATCTGTGTGTGTCTTCACACTAGTTCACCCCATCCATTCTCTGCTCCAGGAGACCTGGCTGTGTAGTGAGTTAAGCATGGGACTGCTAACGTCAATGTCGGTGGCTTGAACTCCCGAGGTGCCCCACGGGAGAAAGAGGAGGCTGTCTGCTCCCGGTCTTGGGAATCTTTCGGAGCAGTTCTACTCGATCCCGACAAGTTAGCGTTGACTCAAGGGCAGTGTTTAGTTTGGTCTCCTCGACTCAGTTGCTTAATCTCTTTGATGAAGGGGTATCCCCTCCAAAAAACTGGAATCCTTCGCACCCCCCAGAGCTGTGAATTTAACTTTTTTTTTTTTTTTTAACAAAACAGCCTTATCACCTTCAAAATACTCTTCATCACACTTAAGACATTTGTCAAATCTGAGATTCCATTCTTGGAAACATTTTTCAAACTCATCTTTGTGGATGGCTGACAGCACCTCCTTCATTTTTTTTCTTCACCTCTTCTACATCTTCAAATTGCTGTCCTTTCATGACCCTCTACATGCGTGGAAACAAAAAGAAGTCCCATGGAGCGCGGTCACGTAAGTAAGGTGCATGGGACAAGAGAGGCATGCTGGTTTTTGCCAAAAGCTGGTGCACTGAGATGGCTGTGTGAGCAGGTGCATTGTCATGGTGGCCAAACCAGTCCCCTGTCTGCCAGAAATCAGGCATTTTTGGTTATGCAATATTTTCAGAACCTCTAAATAGAAAGTTTGATTAATGGTCTGACCTGGTGGAACAAACCCCAAATGCACTACGAGTCAACATTTTCATCCGTTTGGGAAGCTGATGGACATCCAGAATGACGTTTGTCATCAATTGACATTTCACCTTTTTTGAAATGAGAAAACTATGCGTACACTTGAGTTTTTTCCATAGCGCTATCCTTATAAGCTGGGTTCAACATCAGAACAGTTTCTGCAGCATTTTTCCTGAGCAGGAAACAAAATGCCACAGCCACACGCTGTTCTCTGAACTCAGTCATCACCGAAAAAGCACGGTTTGAATGAAACTGCTTTTATGAAAAAACTCACTGTGACCAGAAAAACCCTTCCCAGGCAACATCACTGAGTGCACTAACTCAGTGCTTGATGCTCACCTAGGAGAAAAATGCATACTACAGAAGCTCCGCTCTGCCCGGGCAATTCTGGGTTTTGGGGCCGGAGTACCTCCTCATATATCTCAGAATGATGGACTGAAAATACACCTTACACGGATCTTAATTTATTAAAGAACAAAGACAACCCATTCCTAAATGGGATTATAATCACACACAGAAAGGTTGGGGTTTACAACACACTTTTGAGGGACATCCCTAAGAGCCCTCCTGCCCGAAGGCACCCGATAGACCTGTGATGTGTGGCTGGGGCACCCAAATGCCCCAATAGTAATCAGTACAGTCCTTCACTGAGTGGCCTGGTGGGGTAGTGGTTATGTGTTGGTCTGCTCACTGCATGGTCAGCAGTTCAAAACCACCAGCTGCTCTTCAGGAGAAAGATGAGCCTTGCTACCCCTGCATAAAGACTTCTAGTCTCAGAAACACACAGGGGGCGGTCTGCTTTCTCCTATAGGGTGGCCGTAAGTCAGATAAACTCAATGGTGGTGAGTTCGAATTAAATACTCCCGGATCCCCTTCCTCACACCCAGCCCTCTGTTAGGTGCTTTGGGTAACAGAAATGGGGCGATGAACAGCCTGAACCCTCAAAAAGTTTATAAAAGCCACAGGGCTTAGATCATGGAGCATTCCAATCCTAGAACTGGCATGGGATTCTGGCCCAGAGTCTCAGAAACAGGATCTGAACCCAGATCTGCAGGGCTCCAGGGCCTGTGTTTGTCCCCCCAAGCCAGACAGTCACCCGGCAGTGACACCTGCAAAGGGCTTTCTGGGTTACAGCATGTTTTGCAGACAAGGAAGCAGGCCCAGAGAGGTGAAGTCACTTAGCCAGAGGCCATAGGTGGCATGTGGCAGAGCTGGATGCCTCCTGCTTCCAGATGCCATCTCCTCCCCCTTCCCTCCTGGCTCTCCTTACATGAGTCCGCCAGTTCTAATAGGTCTCTGCAGGGAAAGGAGGTCAGGGCACAGTGTGTAAGCGGGGTGAGAGGAGTAAGGAATGGACTCCCTGTCCTGCAGTGAGGCCCACCCAAGGAAGGCCGCCACCTCCCTCCCCTCCTATCACCTTCCCCCGCCTCCTCCCCCCACCTCCTGCCAACACAGTGTCACTTACATATTCTTTAATGTCCTTGGATTTCACAGCCTTGTAGGAGTAATACGCAGGGTAAAGGGTGCCAAATATAAGCCTGGAGGGGAGAGAGAGAGAGAGAGAGAGAGAAAGCAGAAATGTGATTTCCACACATCCTAACCGAGGGAAGATGTCTCAATGGGATGTCAGGAGCATTGCTCCAAGCTACAGAACATGCAGCTGTGGGCCTGCTTCCGGCCCAGGGATTCTCTGCTCCTGGCTGGCAGTGCTCAGGAACCTTTATCTCCAGCCACAACGCCACCTTCTTTCACTCTGCGGTTTGGGGTCACAGAATCCAAAACCAGGAGTGGGCAGACAAGACCCCTCCTCTCCTGCTGCTCCTCCCCACCCGATTCTCTGTCAGCCCGCCAGCCCTTTGGTTAACATCCAGCAAACTGCTTCCAGCTTCCAGGGACTTTCTACAGCCAGAGGAAGCTTTTCCGATTGCAAATCCAATCAGGCCAACCCCTCTTCCCGACACCCATGCCCCCCACACTGCATCCATCACTGCTCATCACTCATCCAGCCCAGAGCAGGAGCAGGACAGCAGTTCTTCCTGGCCCCAGTCCAGGGCTGCAGTGGCCACAGAATAGCTTGACACTCAGCCCCGCCTCCAAGGGCCTGCAGACAGCTCTCCTTATTCCTCCCACCCCAGCGCCTCTGCCCACTTGGCTCTTTCCCTGTGGGATCTTCCTTCTTTGTCTAGTTCAAGTCTGTTCACCCATCCAATCCCAGCTCCATGACCGCTTCCTCACGGAAGCCTTCCCCGACCTCCCAACTAGGTCAGATCTCCCACCCACTCCCACAGAACAGCGCACCTTAGCATCAGCATGGTTGTCTTCCTGGGATTTGTGTGATTCTTGGATTAAAGGCAAGTCTCCCCGGTCAGGCTGCAAGAACCTTAACGAGGGGATCAGTGCTTCCCATCATTGTGCCCCCAGCACCTACCACACAGGAAGTTCCCAGGAAGTGCAGAGTGTTAAGCACTTGACTGTTAGCCCAAAGGCTGGCGTTTGAGACATGCTCCCCCACCCCTTCTACCTCAAAAAAAACAAAAACAAAAAACCCCCAAGGATACAGAAAACATGTGCCAAGTCCACAACTTTTACACACGAGTGACAAAAGAAGCCTTCGTGGTGCAGTGGTTATGCTGCGCCCTGGGCTGCTCACTATGATAAGGTCAGCCACTCTCAGAGTTACAGTCTCGGAAACTCGGGGCAGTTCTACCCTGTCCTGCAGGGCTGCTACGGCTTGACATATACTCACTGGCAGGGAGTTTGGGTTTGGAATTCCGTGACAAAGAGCTTGGTTGGAGGGCCAGTGGTAAAAGGGCTCCACCACTAACTGAAAGGTCCAAGCTTCTAGCCCACTGACTGCTCCAGGGAGAATGAGATGGCCATCTGTTTCCGTGCAGAAACCCTCTGGAGCAGTTCTACCCTGTGCAACAGGGTTGCTGTGGGCCGGCCTGGACTTGATGGTAGGGAGTTTGCTTGTGGAAGTCCGTGACCGACCACACTGGTCATGGTGCCCATCCATCGCCCCGTCCTTTTCTGAATGACTCCACCGCAGGGACACACTCTCGACCATTACTTTTAAATGAATGAACTGACAGAAGGCCGGAGCCGGAGGGTTTAGTCCTTCCATCTGACTGATGAGGTCACCCAGATATTAATGCAGGTGCAAGCTGATCCCTAAGCTTGAGTACTGAAGCGTTGGTGGCTCAGAGCTCCATGTTCGGCAGGTGCCAGCCTCTCCTGCAGTAACCCCAGTGCTCGCACTGCCAGGCCGCCTGCGGGAAAGCAGCCTTGCACGGCCCACCTAGGGGTGCCCAGAGCCACAGCTGGGCATTCAGGGGCCTGACACAGGGCAGTGGGCCCAGTGCAGTTTACCAGTCTGGGGTGACACACATGCAGACTTGCCACATTCCCCCTCAGGTCTGCAGGGGGAAATAGCCAACTGATGGAGCCAGTTTCTCATGCTTAAGGAGGAAGCCTGGCACTAAGCACGTCTCGTCCTTTCGTTTAATCCCCAGATGAAGCCGCTACAGGGAGCCTCCGGGACGGCGCAGGATCCTGGTGCTCAGAGGGGCGGGGCCCTTGTGGTCTAAGGGTCCAGCATCATGTGGGGGGAAGCATGGTGGTGGTTGTGGGGGATGAGGACCCACAGGTTGGCAGGCCTCTAAGCCAGGCCCCCCCGCCCTGGTGCCCAAGGCCAACGGAGTGTCTGGGGAGAGGCGCGGTGGCACGTGTGAGGAACAAGGCAGTCCAGCACGCAGGACCATGGAGTCGTCTGAAAGGAAGAAAGAGAGGCCGGCAAGGGCCAGGACATCACGGCATTTAAGCGGATGAGAGTGGGCAACTGTGACAAAGGCACCGGATGGGGCAAGAGGACAATGCCTGGGATGGGCAGGTGACTATGGGTACCTTTGTGAGGGTAGGTCTCCCAACGACCACCCGCCTTTGTCTGTCACTCTTCCAAGTGTTCTCCGGAGGGCCAGGGCAGCCCTGCTTCCCCCGGGAGGCCTTTCCTGAACTCCCCACCCATGAAGGTCGGACTCTTCTCCCAGTCTACAGTGCCGCAACTCCTATACTCCACCCCCACCCCACCCCCGCACCATCCCTGCTTTTTAACCTTCCCGTTAGACTCCCTAGGGGAGCAAATAGACCATGAGCTGTCAGGCTGATGGCTGTATCCTGCGCAGAGGCATCACGGAGGAGAGGCCCGACACATTGCTTCCGAAATCTCCCAGCCTTAAGCGTCCTACAAGGCAGTGTAACTACATACGCAGGGGACTGGGAGCCTGAAACCACTGGATGGCAGCCCACAACCCTATAGCCCTGGATCATGCTTACTATGGTTTGTCTCCTCCCCGTGTCTCCAGAAAGGTCACACGTTCCACAGAGCCATGGTGCTCCAACACCCACATGTCCCTGCCGAGCACAGTCGGAGATGCCCAATAAGTGTGTGCTGGTTTCCCAGAGTGGGGAAGCAACCGTCAGGGGGATCCAGAGGACACGTGTGACCTTGGGACGCTGGTCTCAGCAGCAAGGTGCATGTGTGCCAGGCAGCACTGGGCTGAGTCAGCAAAGCCTCGGGCAAGGTGCCACCCACTCTGGGGAAGTCAATCAGCTGCTGCTTCAGCTCAGATGCCCTGGCTAGTGTCCACTCTGCCTGGACAGCAGGTGAGCAGTGAGAGAGACAGGTGGAAAGTGCCCACAGCCCATCAGACAATGGAAGTGCTCCTGCGCATACCCAGTGAGCAGCAACACCCTCAGGTGGGCTCAGAGCTGGGGGACCTTCAGGGGCAAAAAGACGGATTTGCTTTGCAGTCTCTCAGAGCTCAACGGCTCTGTCATCGAGCACCTCACCTTTCAAGGCCTGGGGAGGAGGGACTGAGATGGGAAGGATCGTTCCTCCTTAGCCTGTTTGCTTTACCGGGAAGAAAGAATGGATGGAGCAGGGCCACAATGAAGGAGCCCATTCGCACGCACCAGGGACCCTGGTTTAGCCTTTCTCCACGGGCCCTGCTGACCTCTTTCTGCTCCCGTCTCGGGGGCCCCCCACCCCCTCAGCCTCAGCTCACCTGTCCTGGCTGCTAGTGCTTCTGCACGTCCTGCCCTCCAACCGCACAGCCCAAGCCCTGTTTGCTCTATAAAGTCCTGCTAAGCCTTTAAGACTCATCTCTAGAAGCCACTTCTGTGACGTCTTTGCAAACCTCTCTGGAGGGTTTTCTAGACTCTTGTGAAGTCGGTTACAGCATGGATGAGGTATCAGGAAAGATAATAATAATAAAACACCATGATTACGGCAACTCACTGAAAACCCACTGCCTTTGAGCCCATTCTGGCTCAGAGCGACCCTCTGGGACAGGGCAGAACTGCCCCGTGGGGCTCTGAGACTGCAACACCTCACAGGAGTAGAAAGTCCTTTCTCCCAAGGAGCGTCTGGTGGTTTTGAACTGCAGACCTTATGGTTAGCAACCCAACACAAAACCACTATTACTGAGTGCCTGTGAATTTAGGGCTGTTCCGCAGACTATAGGTACACTCTAGCCTAAACTCCTTGATGCCCAAGTCGGACAGGAACTCACGTCACCCTGTTTTACAGACTAGGACACTGAGGCTTGCTGGCATTCCTCACTTGCCCTAGGAGATGCAGCAGCCCGGAACAGAGTGGGTGTGGACCCAGGAAGCCTGGATTCTTTCTCGGCCAGCTCTGAGCCTGTCTCCCTGTGGCAGTTACATAATCTCCTGCCAACCTGCAAAGGGGTGGAGGTTAGCCTGTCAATCAGGTCGCAGCTTGATGACCTCACTTGAAGGCGCCACAGAGATACATAGCTCACTGGAGGCCAGATACACATACAAACTCTCTGCTTTGTCTCCCTGCGAGACATTCCTGTTGACAAGCCACATGGAGCTATGCTGATGGCAGCCAGAGCCCTGGAGCTGGAGGAGCCATGTGGAGACCCAGACCAGTACTGAGATGCTTCCATCACCACTGGATCCACAAGACTTTCCACCCACTGGCCTGTGATCTTCCTACACTTAGCATCATTGCATGTGTTGCGTGAGTCTGAAGAGGAATTTACAGACTGGTATCGGACTTATGGGCTAATATCGGACTTAGGGACTTGATCTGGACTGGGTGGGGATGTTTTCTTAGTGTACAATTATCTCTCTTCCATATATATCAGTGTCCTGGATTTGTTTCTCTAGTCAACCCAGACTAACATACTCCCCACCCAGCCCACACAGTCCCTGGGTGACTGGGGTGTCCACGTAAGCACACGTGACTGGCACTACCCATGGACTCTGGTTAAATGTCTGGGAGGGTCTGTGGTAATTACATAATCCAGTGTCAATGTGAGGATTAAGAGTGTAGGGTGAAGTGTAACCTGCCAATTAGGATATAGCCAATGTGGTCTCTGTGTGGGCATGGTCTTCTCCTGAGGGTTCTGGGAACTCCTGTATTTCCTCCTTGGAGATGGGAGACACATTCTCTCTCTGGTGACTCCCTGCAAGACATCCCTGAGGAGAGGCCACATGGACCTACCC